TGTATACTCGGCACTCAGGGCGCAGTAAGGGATCTTTTTTAGTGTCAGCATCTACTGCGACACGGGGCCTCGGTTTATACCAGTCTTCACGTCCCGCAGTGGGATTCAAATCCGCGACGCATGGATCAACTCCATCCTCGATCTGCGACTCTAGAACAGACGCTCTAACCACTGGGCCACGCGGGCGTCGAATTGCGTGAGAAAATTTTAAGCTGTTTGGAGATATTATGTTTTTCTTATCTTGACCGAAATCGTTGCCAAAATGTAGGTGTTATAAATTGTGGCAAGGAGGGAATGGCTTTTTTTAATTATGTCGTCTGCCCTCAGCATAAAGAGAAACAAAGTACAATACATATGATACATGGTACACTCTATTAAGGGACTCCGAACTAGTAATATTTCAAGACAAACGCTAGAATGTAGGAGATACTTTGGCAAACTCTGAATTGATGAAGAATTCAATGGTCAATACAACAGTAAAAGTACAGCTGACCTTGATTATGATTTAGAAAATGTTGATAGAATAATTTAGATGATTTCTTTTTAATAAAAATTTATTTATCTTTTTTAATAAACACTTTGACCTTGGAAAATTCCCTTACTTTTTAGATATACAGTTTTAACGGTAAATATATATTTAAAAAAAAAACAAACAAAAAAACAACGTATACGTTTACTTCTTAAACAATTAAGAAAGTGGTTTCTTGATGATTATGATGATGGGTTTACTAGTATTACTAAATATTATATTTATTATATTATTGAATTTATTTTGTGTTATGCCCGGTTCACACGGAGAGTTTAATTCGAATTAAACGTACTCTAAGTTACTGCGAATTAAATCTGAACCTTATTCACACGAAAAATTTAATGCGAATTAGTTTAATTTGAATTAGTTTGCTGCACATTAAATTACTTCGCATTACCTCCATGTGAACGCTAAGCGAAGCTAATTCGAAACCATAGAGTCAATTAAAGTCAGTTATAAAATGTTATTTCTAATTATAATCTTACTTTTTAAATATGAGTATATTGAATAAATTATATACACAACATGTAGTGCTTACAAACACTTAATAGTTAGAAACTGCACATAGATTCAGATTTCAATTTTGGCTGGGTATCTGTAGACCACACTATTTTGAATTCCATACATTGTAGCTTCCGTGATTTCGCATTTATTTTCAGTCACAAACAACTAAAAAAGAGACATTCTTAAACGTAAGCGTTACCTTCCTCATTCTTAATGACGATTATTATTTTGATGATATGTTTTCGTAACAAAAAAGGGGAACATAATTTATACACTCTATGTGATTAATTCGGAAGCTTAGTAGTGCCGCGTAATTTTTTTTTAAAGTTGCTAATTCCAACTTTAAAGCTGACTTTTCCGACTTAATGTCGGCATATATATAAACTCTAATAAAGGATAAAGTTGGAATTTCAAACTTTCAAGTAGGAAAAGCCAAAATTAAAGTTGGAATTTTCAACTTAAAGGTTGAAATACCAACTTTAAAGTTGGAATTACTAACTTTAAAGTTGGAAAAGCCAAGATTAAAGTTGGAAAAGCCAACTTTAAAGTTGGAATTTCCAATTATAAAAAAAAAACCTATTACATGTAAGTGTCAATAATGCGCTTCCGAAGATTTATGAACAAGCAGTTGTGTGTATAATTATTGCTTAAAACTCGCCAATATGAAATTGAAAAAAAAAAATCAAATGATCCTGTTACCCGAAAAAACACATATTCTGTGTCGGATAGAGTTTGTGGCTCGGTGAGAGTTCCATCCATATAATAACATCTGAATATGTGTTTTTAGTAAAATTTCAAACATATGTACTTGTAGACCCCCCCCCCCCCAAAAAAAAAAGTTCAACCCCGGGGCTTGTTGGAAATTCCTGCACCAATTACATTTACTAGTATAACACATTTTTATCATGTATACCATAAGAAAAAATCGGGGGAAAACACAAAATAATAGTTCTTTCCAAAAATTACCCCACTTTACATTATGTTTGACAAATACTTTCCGAAATTAAAAAGTCCCTTTACATTTCGTATGCTTAGAAGTAATTTTCCAATACTGTTCTTATAGTAATACATTTTCAAATGGTTCAATCTAAGGTCATGATAAAAGGAAAATGTGTTATTAAATGAAAATCTTCTTTAGTAACATTTGATGAACATATTTTAAACAAAATCCCCGTTTGAAAAGCTTATTTAAAGGCATATCTATTTTAAATTTTCTTAATTCCATCATGTGCATTCTACCTATTCAAAACATCCTAGTTTTTTACACATATTTTTTTTTATTTTGAATTTATCATTTATTTGCATAAAAGACTGTAATTTTTTTTCCGGACATTTGCATGGGGCTTTATGAAATCACATCTGTGTTCCATATAGTTCAGACTACTGCTTACATAAAGTGGTACATGCGTTTCAAAAAATATGATAATTAAAGATACACAATTATTTGCTCAATTTTCTTTACTCTTGACTTCTCGGAATTTTTTGGGGGAAATTCCTAAACCCAGATGATCGCAACATTGCTTCAAAGACCTACGAGACATCTCTGTATGATCTGCTAGAATAATCTTTAATCAAAAGGTATTGATAATAAGGTTCAAGCATCCAAGCCACACTGAGCTGTTCTCCAATAAATATTAATGAAATGTGCGTAATGAGGATGCGCTGCATATTAAGTCGAAGTTGTATTCTCACTCGTGCAGTTTTCATTTTTACGTTTGTGTAATTTTCTCATTATATCATGTAAATATTTTGTTCATTATTCAGTTTTTCCATAGTTTGTGTAAATGTCAATAGGTTAGTTTGTATTTCGCACACTTTGTGCAAGTTTTTATTTACTCGTGTAATTTTTGTTTAAGGTCGTGCTAAATACCTTTAACGATATCGGCGTGCCATAAAGGTACACCTATAGCCTACAACAAAATTGCATATTGTCTAAAAATATATGGTAATCTTGCAGCGTTTTAAATAATATCTAATTTATCTTTCTTTGAGACAACCTTCGAATGAAAAAAGAAGTCTCTTGTTGTTGCATATACATGTATCGCACTGAACTCTAAATAAGAGACACCACAGAGTCTGAAACATGTTTCATATTTACATGTAGATGTTTTACTAGAAAAAAAAATCACTAATGATAATCAACCACACTTTATGATAAATGTGATGGATTCAATTTTTTTATCGTCATATTTCCTTCTGTAGCAATACGAGGGCCATTCAATAAGTAATGCGACATTCAGTTTATCATAATAAATGTAGAAGTATTTAATTTTATTTTCTAACAGTTGAAAAGTTCTATTTAAGAACTCCTAATTACAGAAAACCCCATGCGCTTTCCTATTGTCCTTGCAAAAGAAATTCACTTTTAAAGTAAGCATGGTCACTACACTGAGCTGAAAACTGCTTAAAAATGATCTCTGCCAAAACGATGAAAATGAGAGCGTATTTGAAAACTGTGCTTTATTACATAAATAGCTGAATAACCCATATTAAAGATATGATTTTTATATGTGGAAAGACTAGTCTTTCACGCTGTATAGTTTGCAGACGAATTTGGAAATTTAAAAGAAAAAATATACAATTGAAAGATTGCAGTCAAACTGATCGATCGAAATCTCTAGGGGCACCAAAAAATGTCGATGCTGTGAGCAAGATGATATCTGAAAATGCCAAATTTCGGTTGATAGACTTTGCTAAAACATGAAACATTTCATCGTCATAACAGTTTACAGAGTTCTGACAAATTGAAATAAATCTAACAATAATTCTATCAGATGGGTGCCTTATTTCTTTACAAATGCCTAAGAGAAAACGCACGGAAAATGTGCCAATGGTCTATTTAAAAATAAACATTTTTACCAAAAAAAAAAAAAAAAAAAAAAAAAAAAAGATTTGATAAACTTGAGTGATAGATGACGAAACATGGGTGTACTTTTTATAGCCGAAAAAGAAGATCAAGAATAAAATGTTGAATAAAAGAGAAAGCTGTCGTCCTATTATTGCAAGAGAAGCAAGGGTTCCAAATGTGTTTTATTAATTTACTTTTTATTCAAGAGGCCCAGTGAAACATGTAATACATTTAAAGAAAGGACTATCAATGGTAACTTTTATGTAAAAATTTCACTCAGGAAAGTTAAGCAGATTTCCTGAAAAGCAAGCCCAAATACTCGTCCCCGGAGTATTTTTCTGCACCTGAAAATGCTGCTGCAAATGAGCATAGAGAAATAAATAAAATTTTAAAGAAAGGAAATTTTACAGAGATACATAATATTGGGCTTCCCCCATATTAGCTAGATCTCAGCCATTGTGAGATCTTTTTCTTCCAAAAACATATGAAAGTAATCAAAGGAAGATTTTACAATTTCAGGTATATCATGGAAAGTGCTATTCATCAGTGTCTTTAGGGTATCCCTAAAATGAGTATGCGGAGGTTTTCTGGTCATGGGTACAAAGAGTTTAGACATGTGTAAATGTAAGCAGGGAATGCTTTGAGGGATTGAGAGTATTAAGAATTCTTGCTTTATATGCTTTTTTTCTATTTTTAGATGACCTTTTGCATTACCTGATTAAGACAATGGTTTCATATGGCAGGTGTGAACAGTCAACAGGGATGCTCACTCCCTTATGGCACCTGCTCCCACCTCTGTTTTGTTTTGCTCTACTCACAATTTGTATTGCTTAATTGGATGACTTTTGATTATGATAACTGTTAGTTACATTGATCTTTACATTTCAAAATCAGTCGAAGTGATCTATTTGATGTAAAAATCGGATTATAAAATGAAATTCGTTGGATAAAAATCATACTCAACTACAAACAAAAGGAGATCCTTTATTAATTACAATGTAAGAAATAAAGGATACATGTATCTCAAAGTTCTACGACTTATTGAAAAAAATATTGTAATAGTCTGAGAAAAAAACCCGGCATGCTATATATGCTACATCGGAAACCGCTCAAAAAGTTCCATACAATACATTTAAAGTGAACTATGTGTTTCCAACAAATCTTCGAATAAATTGACTTTATCAGAATCTAACATCCACTCTTCGTAGTAAAGACCTTTCAATGTCTGCAAGAACTTTGGAAAATTCAATCGTGCTTGGCGCAAAGTCTGCGGATCTTTGAAAGAAAAGAGGTTATATGTCTCTTCCTCGAATGAACTCCAAGGGAACATCAGTTTGACGTAAGGATTTCCATAAAAGAAATGTGGTAGGAGTTCTGCATCAATACTAAGATGAAGATATTTAATGAAGTATCCTAATGCTTCTTTAACTCCACTAAGTTTATTTTCTTTGCTTGCTATCGTCAGGAAGAGGATGCAGTAAAGGCAAATATTTTTAAGGTGGTACGATTTTACAACACTATCTAGCTGTGAGATGCCGCGTGAATTCAATCTGAACTGATGCAACGCACCCTTGAATAGTCTACAGGCAGTCAAAATATACCTCTGACTTTGGTTTCTGCGAGCTACATCTAAAATGTGCTTTTCATATCCACAAGTTGAATTTCTCCAAAGTACATCTCTGCTTTGCATTGGGTCTAATGGAATGGCATTGGTACTTTCATTGACCCATTTCATGACTCCGTATCTTTCACAGGGCATCTGTCTATCTCTATAGGATGTTGGGTGATGTTGTAAGCACGGATGAAAATCATGAACAGTGTATGGATCCGGTACTGTGTCAGACGACAAGCAAATGGCGGGGACCAGGTCAGCTTCTAATTCTATAACCTCTAATCCTTGGGACGACTCAAATACTATTTTATCTAACCCTTTTAATCCACTTTGACTTCTCACCTGCAATGTAATTTTTAAGTTAGGAGCGTATACACTACGAACAATGCGGTAGCTTTCATTCCAAGTTGTCTTTATCTGTAACTGACTGTTAATTTCATCCCTTGATTTGTCCAAAAGAGATGTGAAAACTTTCTTCTGAAAGTTATTTGTGTTAATATATTTCTCCCCAAAGTCATCCTCAAGTAGACTATGTTTTCTCATCCATGGTGGAGCATCATAATCATTGATGATTTTCTCTTTGAAAAAGCCAGGTAGTACATTACCATAACGATCAAAAACATTCTCTTTCTGAGTCCTTAAACCTTCAATGCGAAATGGCGAAATAAAATCAAATTCTAATGAATCGCAGACTTTCAAACCTTCTCTTGAGCTTCCTTGTTTGATAAAATTGTCATCTAAAACAAGTCCTGGAAAATGGATGTTGGCTGAATTTTTCATTTCACGTGCTACGACCCTCATCACCTTGTCCATAATCTTACAGCTATCTTCCCAATCAGCCTGATCTACGTGCAGACCTGTTTCTATGAAATATCTGCCTATGTCACTTTCTCCATGCCCAATTTCGAAAACTGGCTCCCTCCATTCATTATAATTTGATCCAACATTTATACTTGATGTTGGCCTAAAATCAAGAAGGAAAATAGTCACAGTGTTAGTAAACTTTGTATATTCATGTTAATAGTCTAGTAGAGTTATATCCGCACATGACGGGTGTGATCGGTCAACAGAATATGCTTATTGGAATTTTGCGAGAAGCGCTGACTTTTACAGTCAACGGCTTACTTTTACACTAGGACAATATACGGAAGCTCTTTTGCGATATAAATATTTAGCTTAAAGTTAATTAAAAGATAATGATGGGTAATTTCAAAGCACATAATACGTTGTCTAAGGAGGGAACGGAGCCACCCTTTCTTCAACCTCCTTTCTTCCTTCATTGACCAACTCCTGCTTAGTTTTCCTTCCGGAATGTGTTTTCTTCTTTATTTGATTCCTTTAGAAAATGAGATAGAAAGGAGGTACTGCCCCTCACAAATAATTTTATGCTGTCTCCCGCCATCTCTTTGTTGATTGTATTCCGTCCGGTAAATCATTTTAACGACACTAACACCATACCTGTAACCACTATTAAAGTTTTCTTATCCATTATCAATTCCGTACCTCCGTACACAACGCAGGTTTAAATGTCAAAGTAAGCCGTCGATTGTAAAAGTCAGTGCTTCTCGCAAAAGTCCATTTCTCTACGTCTCTACATGTATATGAGTGAAAAATTCTCGAATGGGACGTTAAACAACATACAATCAATCAATCTATGGCACCTGATTCCACCTCTGTTTTCTGAAGTCCGTGTTGGCTCTGTTCACAAATTGTATTATTTAAGGAGGTTCGATCCTGAGCTTTTGAGCAGATTTTGGTCTGGACCTTTATTTATAAAATTCTGCATCATTTTTAAGTTTAAACATTAAATCTGAATTCTACAATGCAAATTAAACTATATCTAATGAAAAAACCACGATTAAATTCCATTCAAAGAGGATTTAGCCAGGAACTATATTTTGTGGCGGAAGGTTTTTTAGGAGAAAATGATCATTTTGTCTCCTTTTGAAATATATACAGTACTGTTAAGTTTAGATTCCTATTTTTCCACGCTGGTTGCACACAGAGCTGTTTTTTGCAGTGAAATGTTTTATGCTGGTTCTGAAATATCTATTAAATTATTTCTTATGAATTCTTTCATTATATTGTGACAAATATAGTAAATATATTCTGAAAGTCCAGGAGAAAATTTAGCCAATTTTAACATAAAATTATCACTTTTTTAGTAATATCTAAAAATTTACATCATAGACCCCCACTTTCGTTTTTATTTTCTGAATATATAAGATAACTTTGATCAATCTGCCTAAATTCAAAAAAAGTTTAAGACTTTAAAATAATTTCCTTGCTTGTTAAATTTTTAATGTCAGAAAAATCACATTTTTTGAGTGCAGAAAGGTCAAATATTTGATTATGCGAAGCAATTTGAAACTTTTTCTTAGTCACAATTTTGAAGTGTCTTTTTTAAATAGACTAATAGTTTAATTTGTCCCATGATTTATTTTGATAAAAACATTGGAGGGAAAAGTCGAAGATGTGATTTTTGATTAAGACACATATTTCAGTGCAAAAAGTCATATTAAATGTACTGTAGCGCCAAAAGAAGCGTATTGACCCCCATTTTTTGTTTTGATTTTTAATTAAGCTATATGTGTAGAAACTAAAAATATACTTGACAAAAAAAGTTTAAGACTTTAAATATTAGGATCCAACCTCGTTAAATGGAAATTTGAACATATTCATTGTTTGCTATCTTCACATTCCAGCCACGTTTAACTTCATAACACAGTGATTAAGGAAGGTCCATACTTTTACGGATCCATTTTTAATTTTATACACCGATTATAAAATTCTCGTTATCATTTGTCTATCAAATGATTGTTAACAATACAGCAAGTGTGTAATAATTTGTTATAGTGTCATTGTACAAACTAGACATCTAATATATATTTTATGGAAATTTGCACTCTGTCCATTGGATCTATGTCATTTTATACACACATACAGATACAAAATTTTCAATTGCCTGTATCATGTGTATGGATACAAACATAAAGTATTTTTCATACAAATTGACTTGAGATTTATTTTTATTTATTTAAGACTGTACCATCTTTGTATATTTTTTTTTTTAATTTTGCAAAGAATGATTGTAAATCTTGTTACCCCAGAATAAGGGTTTACATGTTCAAAAGACTGGTTTGTAAAATTTATGTGGTTAATCATGATAAAAATGTGTTTTTGTTAACCTTAAATATGGTATTAAATAATTTTAAAGAAAAAATGTTATCAATTTAGATTTTGAGAATTATTCAAAATTAAGGTATTTTGTGATTTTTTTTCCTGGGGACATTGGCAGATTCAACATCATTTTTTTTTTCCTGGGAAAATCTTCAAAATTTCTCTTATCAAATGAATATTTTTGATTTTCATAAGTTTTATTCTAAATATGACGTGTTTTGGTGCATAAACAAATAAAATATTAGATCATACTTCTCTATATTAAAATTCGGCTGTTGAATTTTAAGAGCTCTGTACGTCGAGACAGGTTGTTTGAAAATAAGCATGCAAAACCTGTCATTTATGGGGTTTTTAGTTATTTTATGAGTTATTTATGTATCCAAATGAAAAATAGATATAAGTTTGAAATAAAGTTTTGAAAGCCTGGACCTACCCTAAAGCTGAGCATGAATCGTTAAAGAATCAGATTTGAATCATATAATTTTATCCATAATATTTCTCCTTCATTCCGCCATATTAATTTTTATTAGCCTGTATTTCTAGAGCCCATATAAAAAAATTTTCCTGATCTATGGTCCAATGCATTCGCCTTTTCAAATTTTCCTTACGTGGACAAAAAAATGTATATCCTTTATTGCCATTGGAAAATACACTGAAATACACAGTTCAGGTCGATATAATTATCCACACACAATAAAATGCAAAAAAATAGAAACACAAAATAATATAAACAACATAACTGCATGTCGTCTATTTGAGCACAAAAACGAAAAAAAAACAGTTATTTTTTCTTTCTGATGCACTGGCACATTTCATATTGTCAGAACAGTAATAGAATGGAGGTCGATTTTGTTTGTTTGTTTAACGTCCCTACGTTTTTTGAATCCTATTGAGATACCACCACATGCTGGTGGAGGGCTGCAAATTTAGACCTGTGCCCAGCACTTACGGCCTTTGAGCAATGAGGGATCTTTTTCGTGCCATAACCCAGTGACCTCGATTAAAACAGTCTTATCTGAAGGATTGGTATCACATTCCGCAGTGGAATTCGAACCTGCGACGCATGAATCAATTTTTACCCCACACTCTAGAGCAAACCTCTTATCCAATGCGCACGTAGGCAACGAATGGAGATCCGTACAACAGGGTATGTATCAAAACGAGTGAATTTGCATAATTTATTTTATTTTTTAACACTTTTTTCCATAGGATATTGTCCCCAGAATACATTTATTATGGAAGCCTGCAGACTTTCTTCCACAGAAGGTCTGATTCCAAAATCAAAACACGTATATCTTTGCTCAATGCATATATACCCCTCCCCCTTCTGGATTCTCTCTTTCTCAAATGAGGACTTTAGAATGTAATTCTCAATTTATCATTTATCATGAATGATTCATATATACCTTGTTACAATGGGTAAAGCTTCGTTGGACCTAGACCATCCCCGACAACTGCAGGTAATAATCTCTGAGCTAAATATGAATTTTAGAAGAAAAAAAATTAATAAATGCATTATAACTGCATTATAATAACGCATATAATCACAGGCACTTGGGGTATGGACCCCCCTTTTTCCATTTTTTTTAAAATCTGGGATCAAGTCACCTTTTTCCTATTTTTAAATACATGTATATATCGATTTCGACTGATACATGAAATGAGAGAAGGCTCTCTTTTTATGTATCAGTCGAAAACGATATATATAAAACAGCTTATAGAGACAAAAGGATTACATTATCGATAACATATAGTGCATACTATAACACAAAAATATGAAAATAGTGACTTGATCCCAAATTAAAAAAAAAAATGGAAAAGGAGGAGGGGGTCCATACTCTAAGTGCCTGTGCATATAATAGAAAAAATAATACCAAAAGCGAACGAAAAGGCGTTGCCGTAAATCGAAGGTTTTAACTGCATATATGTTTAAACTCAGATAACATTCGCAAATCATGCATAGATATCAGATATCCTTAATATTAAATTGATATAAAGAGAAGATTTATTAAAAAAAAACGTCTGCGAGTATTTATGGGTTTGCATTGTTAACAATAACTTTTTATTGTGTTAAATTTTCCGTTTCCAGCTTTCTTAAATTAAGTTATACTAACTCATTTGGTCTCCTCCTATCGGATCTAAGTTTACTTGTCAGATATATTGGAAGAGCGATCGCAGCTGTGCCAACTATTGAGGCGATACCAATGGTAAATGGATCTTTCAATTGGTCTCTCATAATAGACAAAAAATTCCTTTGTCGTTGATCTTTCGATTAGAAGTCTGTGGTTACAAGTCAAGTTCTTATTATCAAGAATTCTATGGTCGGTTCAGAGTGCGCCACGTACAACGTTATCGTGTGCATTCGCTGATGTCCTGAGAAATAATAGATAAATTATTAATCTTTCAAACATAACTTAATACTTACATTTGCTGTGTTTTTCTACTTAACCAATTATGAAATTCATTTGAATGCCATTTTGTGCCCTGTTCACACGGAGTTTAATTCGCAGTAAATTAATGCGAAGTAAAAAGATGCGAATTAAATTATTGCGAATTAAGTTGCGTTCACATGACAGCTAATGCGAAGTAAACTAACGCGAATTATAATTTTATTTCTACAACAAGGCTATTCAGCAAGGCTATCATGACGTCATTTACAATCACGTCATATTGTGCAGAGCAGATATACATTTGACATAATGTCATAGTGTCTGTAAATATTTTTGTGATTAACATAATTTTCCTTTGTTTTCCACTCAAAAATAACACAAGTACATTTATTTGACCACCGACATGTGGCCTGTGACTTATGCCCTGTTAACACGGAGAGTTTAATTCGAATTAAACGTAAGTTACTGCGAATTAAATTTGAACCGCGTTCACACGTGGAATTTAATGCGAATTAGTTTAATTCGAATTAATTTTCTGCGCATTAAATTACTTCGCATTAACTCCGTGAGAACGCTAAGCAAAGCTAATTCGAATTAAATTTCGACGCATTCGTTATGGCACAATTAAGTCACATGCCACATGTCGGTGATCAGATATAGGTACTTATGCTATTTTTAGTGGAAAACAAGGAAAAATTATGTTAATCACTGAAATGTGTATTATACTTTCATAAATACTTGTGCTATATGTTGGGCTACAAAAAACGCACAATTAAAACAAGATGTGTTTGTGAAACACTGATGCCCCCGTATGGCAACTTATAGCAAAGGTTAAACTTTCTCAAATGCAAACCAAATATAATGGTACCCAAAGTAAGGTCTTGTCTCGAGGAATATTCCTGTGAAATATGAGAGCCCTAGCAGCAACCATTGAATAGGTTTGGAAAAGGTTAAAGTCAAGGTCAGATGGTCAAAATTAATGGTGCCTAAGGAAAGGCTTTCTCACAAGAAATATACTGGTGAAATATGAAAGCTGAAGCACCAATCGTTCAAAAGTTATGGCCAAGGTTTAAGTTTTTCAAAAGTAGGTCAAACTCCAAGGTCAAGGTCAATGGATTATAATTGTTGGTATCCAAAGGAAGGTCTTGTCACAAGGATTAAATATGTGAAGTAAAGCCCTAGCACCAACGGTTCAGAAGTTATGGCCAAGGTTAAAAGTTTTCCAAAAGTAGGTCAAACTCCTATGTCAAGGTCAATAGGTCAAAGTTGTTGGTATTCAAAGGAAGGTCTTGTCACAAGGATTACATATGTGAAATATGAAAGCCCTAGCACCAACGGTTCACAAGTTATGGCCAAGATTAAAGTTTTTCAAAAGTAGGTCAAACTCCAAGGTCAAAATGTCAAAGTTGTTGGTATCCAAAGGAAGGTCTTGTCACAAGGAATACATATGTGAAGTATGAAAGCCCTAGCACCAACGGTTCAATAGGTATGGCCAAGGTTAAAGTTTTACAAAAGTAGGTCAATCTCCTAGGTCAAGGTCAAAGGGTCAAAGTTGTTGGTACCCAAAAGAAAGGTCTTTTCAAAAGAATTACACATGTGAAGTATAAAAGCCCTAACACCAACTGTTCAAAAGTTCTGGCGAAGGTAAAAGTTGGGTAAAATTTTGCAAAACTGGGTCAAACTCCAAGGTCAAGGTCAAATATAGTGGTACCCATAAAAAGGTCTTGTCACAAGGAATACACATGTGAAATATGAAAGCCATAGCTCCAACCAATCAAAAATTATGGGCAATGTTAAAGTGTTTGCGGAAAAACAGACAGACAGACTGACGGACGGACGGAACAAAAACTATATACCCCCGAATGTTCGATTTGGGGGCATAAAAATAATTTCAGAAGGTAACGCGGCGCGTTTACCATGTTTACGTTGACGGAGATTGGGTACTTGGGAATTATAGTTCTTTCACGATAACTGCGGTACACATGTAAATTGATAGTGTTTTTATTGAGAGATAATCAGATGAAGTATATTAAATTTTTACTTAATTTAAGATTTTAAAAAAGTAAAAAATCATATTTCCTTGCAAAAGAGCGGTACCGCAGTCGTGAAACAGTTTCAAATAATCATTTTCCCTACAAAAGAGCAGTACCGCAGCCGTGAAACAGTGACGAGTCTATAAGGGTCATTATTCAAAATATGCAGTCTTGACCAAACCAAAATTAGATACAACGTTACACCACTTACAATATTAAATCAGTGTTGCACCACTGAGAGAAAAAATGCCCTGTAGATTTGTGTCACATGAATTCACTCATTTTTAGATGCTATCTTTTTTTACTATCGGCAATCACACACTATCATCCACCTTGTACCGAGTTCCTACTTTCTTTGGCTCATCAATCTCACAAACAACACCATCAATACTATACCAACATTCGTCAACAACACATTTTGGTCAATAAAATTGAGATTTCTCCAATTTTCTCCCAACCCTATGCATACAGCGCCCATACACACTTCCTCTTTGTCTATATCGTTGACTAAAGCTAGGTAAGGCTGGTCCTTGCACAACACAACAACATATTACTTATTTAGCAAATTTTCTTCAGTCTCCATCTCTGTATTTCAATTTGTTATGGTGCTTTTGTCACTTCTATGGGAAGTAACGGAATAAATGGTTCGGTATCCAGTTTCGGTTTCTCATGTCCTTCCTTTTTTGTTTGTTTGTTTCTTTGTATGTTGTTTAACGTCCCTCTCGAGAATTTTTCACTTATATGGAGACGCCACCACTTGCCGATGGAGAACTGCAAATTTTGTCCAATACTCGGCACTTACGGCCATTGAGCAGTGAGGGATCTTTTTCGTGTCAGCACCTACTGTGACACGGAACGTCGGTTAAAACGGTCTCATCCGAAGGACCTGTCTCCACGTCCCACGGTAGGATTCGAACCCGCGAGGTAAGGATCAACTCCTTACGCCGCGACTCTAGAGCAGACGCTCTAACCTCTGCGCCATCCTTCCTTGTTGATGCTCACTTAATGTATTGTATTGCTTCACTGCAAACATGTCGTTGCATTATCAAACGATGTAAATCTTTTCGGACATTTGCATTTCCTCGCGGAGGATACACTGAAAAGAGAGGATTTCCAAGAAAACTTAATAATAAAAACATTTGCCAAATGCCCATGTAGCTCATATCATTGCAGTCATCAATTGCTTCATTCTGTTATATTTCAGCCACAGTTTTTTTATTAAGAAGAATGCCTGGGACATAATTTTCTGAATACTTTGCAAAGGAAACTGATAATTCATTTACAGTGCTATTATCAGCAAGTCCTGCTCGGAGATATTCATTTGACAAGTATAGTTCCTTGTGAATGGCTAGTTCAAACACTATACGAACTCTCATCTCCTTGCAATAATCCTTGTGTCCAAATGCCAAAACGCTTTCTGTATATGGTAAACAGTTCCCATCACCAGTCACAACAACTGGATAAATAACTGATCTTTGTTCGACATCTGCTGGATAGAGATTCAAAGCATCTTCATCTACAGTCAATCCAGTGCTCAAAATAGATGGGGTTGACCTAGTAATTTCATTATCAGCTACATGTAACTTGTTTTCATGATTCACACAGTATTTGTGTATCTCATCAAATGTTTTCATCTTTCCAAGAGTGAATAATAAGTCCTGATCTTAAACATGCATCTGATCCGTATCTCAAATCCTCTTTGACATCTTCAAATGATTCATTTCTCAAAGACGCAGTTCTAACATCACCATTTTCTGTTTCACATCTATCAGATAAACTTGCCTCGATATCATCAGATTCTCTTTCCAGTGTTTTGGCTTTCTTATTTGATTTTCTATTAGACTTCTGATTTGTCATGAAAACGAACTTTTTTAATGCATGAGCTTGATGTTCATTTCCTGCAGTACATGAGCAACTGGCATCGCTACACAAAAATTTCTCCGAATTGGTCTGTGATGATTTGGTGTAGTCTCATGATATTCGGGACTGCTTTGGGGAGTGGCATGGTTTCTTCGGAGGGACATAATAGAGTGATATGTTTAATTCTTCATTTTGTAGTGTCTGAAAAAAAGATTTTATATCTATCTGGAATGAGATGTCCTTGGAGAACTTTGGTATTAGTAGTCCTTTTTGGAACCCCACCAATTCCATCTGGTGCAACTTTACCATGTCCAGATTCATGGAAATTCCAGGTTGCATACTTATTTCCCCTTCTAACAAGCTGTGTGGAAAAGAGGTGAAAGTTACCTTTCTGTTTTTACTGACTGTGTGGCTGGACCATCGCTAAATATGTGTAGGGTGTCAAGTGCTTCATTTTCTCTCTGCATTTCATCTAAAAGAGGATTACGATAAGCCCACACAGCACATGGACTGTGATCCATACTTTCAGAGACGGTACAGAATTATTTTACTTTCGCATTTTATTCTATTGTATGAATTGCCAGTGTTAAGTGTAATCTGAGCACGAGAAGCCCCCAAAATTTATGCTCTGGATTCCCTTCCTTAATTTGGTTAGGTAGCTTTCAGCAAATTCTATATGGATAAATCCTTCGTTTTGTTTAGGATTCTCTTTCTGTTTTTTATAGTGAATCAACTGATTCCAGATATTGAAAGAATGTTGCTTATATCTGAGCATTTGGTCAATGAATCCTTCTGTGAGGTCTTCTAATGTGCACTCTATCTCCTCCTTAGCAGTTATTACAGGTTTTTTCTCCTCTCACCAATATTTCCTCCCTTTTTGTAACCTACTGTTTCCAGGTAACTGCCTCACTGTAATCCACCTTTATATCCTCTCTCAAACGGCTCATGTTTATTTCGCTGCATTTTGGGCATTTGCTATACATGCACATTATGTTTTTAGTGTCAAATGAAACTCTTTTTACCAATAGCTGCAAATTGTTTGTATTAGATGTCTCTTTTCAGTAAGGTGTCTGCCATAAGCTGTGTGTTTTCTTGTAACTTACATACACATGTTTTTCTGTCTGATTCCTTAGGGGCAATGACCCAGAAGGGTTTTCGTCTACTGAAGGAACTGTAACTAATTTTATCTTTTGTTTCAGCGACGTATCTGTGATATAATTCCTGTAGACTTGCAGTCAAAAAGCGCTTTTGTATTTTCATCTTACGGACAGTAATTGTCTGCTTAATCCCTGGTGTCATTCGGCTGTTAGTCATCTCTTTCAAAGAAACTATGTACATCTTTATAAAGTCTTTTTCTTTTTGTCAAAAGATTCTGTCGGCTTTTTGTTGCAGCATTATGCATTCCGATGCATTTTCTTGTTTTGTTTTGTTTTTTTAAATAAGTTTATATTTTTCAGCACAGATGCTGTTGCCATTTCAGATAAAGATTTCTTAAATTTGTTTCTACTTTCTTTTTATTTTTGTTTAAGTGCATTTTCATTGCAAAATGAAATAATAAAGTTCTCTTAACATTTTGCTTTTATTTTTTATCTTCGTTTGTTTGCATTCTGAATTGAAATCTTCTTAAAGGGCGTTTTGTTTTAGTTCTCGGTGTCTCAACCTCTTCTCTCTCTCTCTCTCTCTCTCTCTCTCTCGTAGCCATCTTTTAATATACTTTGATGTCTTGTTCTTTTTTTTAAGCTCCTCCTCTGAGCTTCTCGTTGTTTCTGTAACATTTTGCTCTCGACCGTTCCCTCCGTTTACCACTTGATATTTGCATATTTTATAAGTGATAAAATAATATGTTTTTTCTTTTCTTTTTTGGTAAAAATAAAATGTGAATTATAATATTTTTTTATTTAATTAAATGTGTTTTACTTTGATCTTTTAATTAAGTATTTCAAGAAAAAAAAAATGCAGTATACAAAATATTAATGGTGTAACAAATAATGTCAGTGGTCTAACACTTATCATTTTCCAGATTAAAAAAAACACATTATATCAAATAGGCAATTTATTCTAGATATTCTAAAAGTGTCGAATTTGTAAAATGGATATATGATAATTTCTCAAAATATTCTGAATATAAATGAAATGAAAGAAAAAGTTAAATCTAAAAGTAATGTCAGTGGTGTAACAATTTTTGTTACTGGTGTAACAAAATTCCTTGTGACACCACTGATGTATCTGGAGTAAATTTAGCAGTATGACCCAAGAGGTCAGAAAGTACAAAAAGCCACATAGTTTATGTTAAATATGATAAACATTCCTCATTTTTGTGAAACCTTTAATAGTATGTTATTCCATTGACGGGTATGTGTAAAACACAAAACGAGAAACAAGAAACGAGAAACAATGGAATGTCAGATTCAGCATAAAACACAAAATGACCTTAAAATGTCAACAAAGGGGGGCAGCTTGTGCTTTTGATTTCATTTTGTTAGATAACAGCTAGATGCAGAGTGAAATGAAATATCTAACTTAGGTCAGATTTATCATCGACCCGCACAACTATCTCACACACAAAAAAATAAAATGTTGACAGATTTAATTAATACAATACTATTACCTGAAAGAAAAGCTTACTCAGTTTTTGCTTAAGATAATAATAATGTTGTCATCAAATGATACAATTTTTGCTTATAATTCAGAAACTATGTTAATCCATATGGTCAGTTAAAAATGTCTTTAAAGAGGGAATTTGTTCATTATCATGTGAACCCAACATATATATTTTAAAGAGAGATGAAGCATTTGATGCTGAAAAAAATAATGTGACACATAATATAAAATCATTATTACAAACTGATCATAAAAAAATTATTCAAAGAAAAATTGGGACTAATCATTTAATCTTGTAATACTTTGAATAAAAAGGATTAAAGGAGACATTGTTTATGTTTTGTTCTTTGTGATTTAGTAGTTCTGGTAATATTATTGGTGAAATTTATAATCAATGTTTATATAATAGCTCTCTTTACTACATATATAGCAAAAATAAAAATATATTATTTATAAATAATTATTTATGAACATATTATTTAACTTTTTGTTTATACTTTGATTATGTAAAAATCAGAAAATAATTTGAAGGAATCTGTCTCTTACCAGTTAATTGTGTACTTTTAAGCTGTTGATATTTAATTAAATCTGTCATGACTTTATGGGTTAGCAGTGCCGGATCACTGATAAATCTATCAGTCTAAAGTAATCTAAAGTTATGTTTTAATTTCACTCAGCACTTGATTTCTATCAAAATGAAATCAAGGCAAAAGCTGCCCCTTAGTTGACATTTTTAGGTCATTGTTTTTTTTTTTATTATTATTTTATTGTTTCTCGTTTCGCATTTCTTGTTTCTTGTTTCTCGTTTCGTGTTTTACACATACCCTTCCATTGACACAGATTGCATTGTAGTTCTCTGAGCACCTGCTGCACAAAATATCGTAAAAAATTTTATTTGGGTTGCTTTTGTCATATTTGACAACTGTTGACGATGATAAGGTCAGAACAGGTAAAATAGTCATAAAAAATTTCACCTCACTTAACATAATTAATTAAATCCCCTTTTATCGCATACGTTAGATAAAAAAGTCTAATATGATTTTTTTCTTATGACCTGTCTCAAGTATATTGGTGCTATCGTTCGCTTTGTTTACAATATGTCATCAGAAATCACATATCCGAATTGGAAATTTTGGCTTTTATAATGACATTTCCGCTGAGGTCACGACGATAGGACCTGGGCGGGAACACATCGGTACTTTGAACGAGATGTAATCTATCATTTTAAAAATGCATTATTTTTCTAAACGATCAGTTCAATTGTAAGAAAAAATATTTTTAACTAAGGTAAGATTTATACTTCAAATTTGTTTACAAAACAGACATGATAAAATTATGGTATCGACCTCCGAGGATATAAAAATTAAAATAATTAAAATAAGTCAAGTGCAAACTTATTTGTACTTAAGTGTTTGTGATCCAGAAAAAAAATAATTTTTCTTTCGCATTCATCAAGAACTAAGACTCTCCGCGATTGTTGTAACCGTCCGAGAATATTGGTTAGAACTAGACACTTCTTATGTAGTTTGCCACCACAGCTAATGACGTTATATTCTGATATGTCGTCACAAAGCTCTGACTGTCTTAGGAAAATTTTCATAATTACAATTTTTTGCCAAAGTTACCATAATGTTGAAAATACATAATCAGTTTTCCACTGACACACACAAAAAAATGTCCTTGACAAGTCTACTACCCCCTTACCACCTCACGAAATAGAGTTTTGGATATTGCGGTGGGTTTCTTTTGTTTTTGTTTTTTTTTGTTTTTTGTTTTTTGTGTGTGTTTTTTTTTTTTTTTTTTTTTTGCTTGTTAGACATTTTCCTGAGAAGAAGAAAGGAGTTAAATATTAAATAATCCCCCCTCGTTCATCTTAGATCTAAATAGCTTGTCCTTCACCGGCATAAAAAATAAATATCCTGACTTGGAAAAATTTGCCATCCCCCCTCCCCTCTCTCGAATCTTAGAATCAAATGGTCGTCCCCTAATGAGAAGGCAAAACGTCAACAGGTATGGCTTATATATTTGTAGGCTTACTTCCCATGAGTTTCTAGAGTAGGAAAAAGGGATTCAAAAATATGGAGAACACAATATTTTCTCTTCTGAATGCAAACACACAGTACCATGAATGGGTTAAATTCTTAGTTGGTGTTTACGAAAATGAAAATTAGCAAATCGGGAGCAATTAAATTTTCTATATATTAAATACTTATGACAATTTACAAAGTGTTCTAGATACTAAAGTAATGACGCTATAAATTGAAATAAATAGAGGATATTCAATATTTTGTAGTTGGATATGGAATCTAGCTAGCTGTTTCACGAATGGGACAGGATTTTTTTTATTTTCACGAGTGCGAAGCACAAGTAAAAATATTTTTTTAAAAATCCTGTCTCACGAGTGAATTAAATTCCATATCCAACTACAAAACATTGAATTTTCTGTTTATTGTATTTTCTTTGATCTTAAAGGTGCTTGGACACAGATTTGAAGTTAAAATTTTCTCAAATTTTCTGTACTATTTCATGAATTATATGTTGCTATAGCATTTTATGCTAAAATATAATAAAAATCTTATTTCATCTCGAAGTTATTAAAACTTCGAATTTCTGGACGCGTTGGATTGACACATCCTTGCGCTTTCACATATTTTAATTTTATTCTTAATACTCAAGAAAAGTGGCAATTTTGTTGTGTATTAATGAAAAATATTAAAACTATAACCCAGAAAATTCAGAGTAGAAATGTTCGAAAGCAAAACCCACTCACAGTATTGCAAGTCCGTGCTCAGTGGTGTGTGCAGAGTTTAACAATTGAACACACCTGGTGAATCGTAAACATTAACAATAACAGAGCTCGTGCCCTGTTTACAAAAACAGTTTACGTTTCACGAGTGTGTTCAATTTGTTAAACTCTGTA